GTGGGAGTGAGGATAATGGAAACCAGGTATTTGTTGTTTGTTATTACTACTTCAAGCCAGAGTACGTGGCTGGACATCCCACACTTCCACTCCAGCACCACCGGCTGGCTACGTGGCAGTCAAGTTTACTTACATGGCTGGTTCAATCTTTGCTTTGTAGAACCCTCAGGGCTTCTTTGAGTGTTATGATGCTCTGTGCCATCAAATTTTATCCTGTCTGATGTGTGCCCATGTTCACACACCGCACATAACACAGCCTTTCTAGGGCACTTTCTAGCCATGGCTCTCCAAATGTACTGCAGAATTCAGCCTCCTGGCTCTCCCTCCTTGGCTCCTCTTTAATACATTGAGAAATGGAGGCAGAAAAAGGTGGCGTGAGTTACGCAAAATGAACACAGGGGAGAGAAGCACGGCCAGACGGGGTCAGACCCATGGTTCATCTAGCCCAGTGTCCTGTCTGCCCACAGTGGCCAGTGCCAGATGATTCACAATTCGAAATGCTCCATCTCCGGGAGTCCAAGCCCAGCTTCTGGCAGGTGGATGTTTAGGGACACTGGGGGCATGAGGTGGCATCCCTGGCCATCTGACTAATGTTCAGCTGCTGAGGGACCTATTCTCCACATAGGCTTGGGAAGTAGAAGAGATTGTGTGGGAGAGGAGGCGGGGCAGCCCTGGCTGCCCCAGGGATGGAGCTGGTTTCTGCACAAGGAAGGAAAAGGGACATCCTGGAGTGGGGAGGGAGGTTCCGGAGTGGCCATGGGGATAGGGCATCTGCTTGGGGAGCATAGCGTGGTAGGCTCAACCCCCACCTCAGCTTTCCCATACCCAGGGGCCAGCCCTGCCCCGATCCCCAGCAGCCCCTTCAGCATCCTGCTGGCCTGGTCACCCTCAGCCCTCCTTGGGGTCCAGCTGCCCATGCCTCTGGGGTCCTTGCAGGCTCTGTAGTCAGCCACCCATGGGGTCTAGGCCACCAACCCTGGAGGCCACACTACCATTGCAGGTCCTGCTGCCAGCCTGGGGCTCCACATCCCTCCCCCCCCCCGAGACAGTCAGGATGCCATTAGCAACAATGACATCTGGTCTGTCCAGTCCAGCCCAGAAGAGTTGGCAACTCTAGGTGTGACCATGGTGAGGGGTGCAAAAAAGTTTGGAGGCTGCACATTCTCATCCCCCCTAAAAATAGTTCCAGCACCTCTGATTTTCCATGAACCTATCTAGTTATTTTCTGAACCTTTCTATGAACCTATCTAGTTATTTTCTGAACCCACCCTTTTGGCCTTCTCAACATCCCATTGCAACAGCTGACTGTGTGTTGAATGAGAAAAACCTTCCTTTGTGTGTGTTTTATATCTGCTGCCTGTTCATTTCATTGTGTGACTGCTGGTTCTTGCGGTTGAGGGAAGGGGCAATAACACTTCCCTATCTACTTTTCACCACATTATTTGGGATGTTGTAACCCTTTCCTCCCTTAAGTGTCTCTCTTCAGTTGAACAGGCTCTGCCTTTTCCCACCTCCCTTAACTCTCTCTCTTCAGTTGAACAGGCTCTGCCTTTTTAATCTACCCTCGCATGGAAGTTGCTCTATACGCCAGTCACATTTGTTTGGTCTTCTTGGTACCATTGTATCAGAGTCTTGAAGAAAACCCAGGTGTCCCAGACTTCCTCTCGAGACCATCCTTCCTCTCCACTCCCTGCTTCCACAGACAAAGAATCCCATTATGTCCCAGCGCGATCTCTTCGTTTAGAAATAATAAACCCAACCCCTAATGGCACAACGACCTAGCGATGGCTAAACTCCACGGCTAGTATCCTGAGGCGGCCATTTTGTTTCTATTACCTGTTGAGTTCCACTTCTCCTCCGGTCAAAATAGTAATGGCTTGGCCCCACTCACTTTGCAGGGCAGTCCCAAATTACAGGCGGCACAAGCGTAAGGGAGCCATGTTGCTGCCTTGATGTTCTGAAAGGCGTCATTGGTCTGTGCTGATTGCTGGCCAGTCCCATTCCCAGCAGCAGCACCAAGGAAAGATTAGTGAGTTTATTTTTTTTCCTGGCGCACTCTAGGGAGCTGGAGGCCTCGCTCAACAAGGCTCACTCATGTTCAGCTGTCTTGTTAGATCGTGGACTGTGAATAGAGCTCCTGGGCCCAAGATGGAAACCTTTCTTGTTTGACCTCATGTTCCTTTCTTTTCCCTTTCCCTTCCCAAGACGAGCAAGCTGGTAGATAGGAACCTTGGGGCAAGAGCAGAGCTTCCAAGGGAGCAGAGTAATGGTTTGTGTGGCCTGGAAGGTTCCCTACAGCATTAACCATCCCTTCCTTTCTTCTTTTCCATTTCCGTCGCACTGGCTGGCCTGTGCTGGCATACTCATGGTGAGGGGCCACCGGCTTTGTTCTCTGAGCGTCCCTGGGATGAAAAGGTGGCTTTCCTTTTGAAGCCTTGCTGTCGAGGGAGGGACCGTGGCCTCCTGCCCCATATTTCCTGCTCTTCTGCTTGACCTGCTGTGCAGCATTGGGCCTCAGTCTCCTCATATCGCTCTGATGTAATCCAGGGGCCTGCGTCACGTGGGCCTTGGAAGGCTTCTGGTCTGTGACTTGTTCTGAGGCAATGGAAAGTAGGCAGAGCACAGCTGATGAGGTCACAGCATTGCCCTCTCTTAATTGGTATGACCCAGTGCCACTCGCATCAAGCTTGACTCTTGTCCATATCGCCTCCCCCTCCCCTAAAAAAAAGGGCCTGCTTGTTCATCTAACTCCTGATATGGGCCCTTTCTGGTAATATCTGATTTTGCTGAGCCTTATTCATGTCCTTGTCCTGCTACCAGGCCTTCCTCCAAGCAGCCCCCAAGTCATGGAATGATGTTCCGGTCATAGTGTGGGGGCCCCACCACCACCTCATAGGGCGACTCCAAACAGATCCCACGTCGGGCAAATTGGGATAACTCTATTGACTTGGATAGAGCTACGCTGGTTGCTCTGGGAAGGACACAGAGGTGAAAGTGGGTGTGTGTGGAAGGAGGAGGAATATCGATTTGAGACCTTTATCTAAAGAAACTCCTTTCTTTGCAGCTATTCTTATGGCTTCTAGACCAGTGGTTCCCAACCTTTTTTATACTGCGGACTGGCAAACTCATTCAAAAACCACTGGTGGACCAGCACTGAAATATTTACATATTCATTATGGCAATTAATGTATTTGCATAGTTGCATATGCATTAGGGTAATTTTAGCCCATGATCTACCAGGCAAATCAAAGGAGGGGGGGGACATGATGGTTAACAAAAACCACGATGGTTTGAAAAACTGTTGCGCACACATTTAACACAACTAATAAAATAGTTGCTAATGTAACCCACACACCTAGTGCAGTCCCTATGCAGTGGAACCTAGACCACAGCAACAGTTAAGACCAAGAGACTGAGGTTCTAGGTTCAAATCCACCTGGTGATGGTTACACTAATACTTGTTAAAAAACATTCTCCGTTCCAAACCTTTCACCTCAATTGTGCCAGACAGTACTCATGCATTCTTCACATTCATATTTTCCTATGAACAATGCATAATAATAATGTGTCTACCTGCTGGCTGGGCGTAGCTGGAGGCCAGGGGGAGGCTCCAGGAGCGGGGAAGGAGGAGTAGGGGGTCACAGGAGTAGCCGGTCTGCATACGGTGCTTGGCCCCCCCAGCGGGGCTGTGTAGTGATTTCCAGAGCTGGAATTGGGGCTACAGTGAGGCTACCCAGTAGGAACAGCCTCACTGTGGTCCCGGCTCCGGCCGCAGCACACCCAGCGACCAGCCGCCCCGTTCCTCCTGTGACTGCATGCAGAAGTGCGCAGGAAGGAAATTCCCTGGGAAACCCAGGGGGTGGGACTAAATAAAAGCTGGGGGCGTGGCCTGGTAATGTGTGGCAGCGGCCTGTCAGACAGGGGTTTGCGACCCGCCGCTGGTCGACGGACCGGCAGTTGGGAACCTCTGGTCTGGACCGTAAACTCTCTGGGGTAGGGAGCGTCTCAAAAGTTCTGTACTGCTGTCCAGCATCCAGTGACTCACCAGCACTTCATAAATAATCATACTTACATTCGTTATTTGTGGGCAGCCACCCAGTGGAGTTACTGAACAGATCTCCTTGGATTCAGCAGTGCCAGTTAGACACCCCCTAGCTGCTCCCAGACATCCAAGTAGCACCACTGGACAAAATGCTTTGTCTCTCACCAGAAAGGTTTGCAGCTTCTTGTTTTGTCCTGATAGTTGCCTGTGCTCTTGTCTTCTTGGCATGAGACCCCTGCCGTCAATGCACAGGGGTCTGTGTCTAAAACTAGGTGGTGCTTCATGCCAAGAGCGTGTCATGAGATCTGTGTGAGCAGTCCTCTCACTCGCGGAGGCAGCTGTAAGCCTTGTTGTTACCACACTGATGGTCAATGGATGGATGGCTTTTCCTCTTCTTGGAGGATACCTCAACCGCTGGGGTCGGCCAAGAGGCTTGACCTAATGGCTTCCTGAGTTGAACAGAAGGCGGCAGCACATTTCATATGAGAGGCTAGACCCTAGAACTTGATTTCCGTCCTCGGCCATCACAGGCCAGATGGGCTGACTTTCGGGGTTCGCTGCAAGGCCTATCTACCTCCCCACGGCTTGGATGCTTTGGGTAGAAGTGAGTTTGAAGAGGATTATGTCATAGACAGGAGTAGAACAGGCTGGGTGGAAACACGCATAAGGGCTCAATTCGTGTTTTGATGTGTTTACAAGAAGTATACAGGGCCTAGACTTGCCTAGAAGAGGGTGCAGTGCTTTACATAGGGGATGGAATCCTTTTCCGATCTAATCAGATGCTCATCGTATATCCTGAAGCATGAGAATGGTAAACCCATTTCACTACAGAATCCAGGATAATGAAGCCCAGGCTGACACTTCCATTCCGCGCCCTTCTTTGGAGCGGCTCATGCAGTTTTGGGGCAATGAACTCCTGGGGAGGAATTTCTCACGTGAGCCTATTCTCCCATTACAGATGCCCACTATATCACCTGTCGGATCCAGGAGTGCTCGGAGACTACCAGAAGTGGACCGTTTTTGCGCTCCATCGACACCAACTCCCTTGTTGTCCAGGATGAATATGTCTTCATTCAGGTACTCTGACACACTATCTGAGGAGGAAGGGGGAGCGGGGCTGCAGATCCTGTGCTATGTAGCATGTTTTCTTCCACCCAGCGGGAGGAAAGATAGTTTTGAGGGAAGGCCCAGGACTGGAAGTCAGAAGGCCTGGGAAGATCCTGGAGAGCCAGCCACAGGTTTACTGCATGGCCTTCGGTAAGTCAAGTGACCTCGCTGTGTGTCAGTTTCCTCTTCTGCTATGAGGATTCTTACCTACCTCGCAGGGCAGATTGTACTTCCTCAGAGGGGAGGCACTGTGGAAGTGCCGACTGTTGTTACGGGAGTCTTGCAAAATGCCGCAGAGCGCCTGTTGGCAAATCGGGACCTTGACAGAGAGAGCAGAGAGGCACTGGTTGAATGAGGAACCATTTTGGCAAATGGAAGAGTTGATGAAAGCTTGACAGTCAAACAAGGAGGCAGAATGCTAATGAGCCAGACAGGAAACCAGTTTGGAAAGCAAAGTTATTAGGGGAAGAGAGGAAGATATAAGGTAGAATCAAAGTGAAAGGAGGTTGGGGGAAGTGGGCAATGGAGGACCACTATGAGATAAAGAGCGGGGAGACTGTCTGAGAAGGCAAGAGCCTGGAGGGAATGGCCCAACCTCCCCCCAGCTTGTTCCTTTGGGGACAAATCAAGGGGTGTGCAAGAGAACGGCCCCCACCTGAGAGAGCAGTTTCAGAGGAAGCAACCTCCAGGCAGAGGGGCCAGGATCAGGTTTTGTGACTAGGAGGAGTGAGAGATGAAGACATCGAGGATGGCGGTGACCTGAGAGTCACCACGTTCAAAGCTGGAAGGGATCACCAGGTCATTGGGTGGATCTCCTGCACAGGCTACCATCCCCCTACACAGCCAGTCGGCAGATAGGGTACTGGGCTAGATGGACTTTGGTTTGACCCAGTTTGGCCGTTCTTCTGTTCATATCCATGCCACCTACCAGAATTAGACCATAGCTCCACAGCCTTCAGGGGACTCATTTATTATATGCTGCAAGCACAGGTGTGGGAAGCGGGGCTGAGGAGGGTGCTGCAGCACCCCCAGGTTTTGTGCCACCCAGGGTCCCAGTCACAGGGCTTCACATCCAGGCCCAGGCCCCGTTCCACTGCCAGCCTCAGTGCTTAGTGGCTGGCCCCCCCCCCAGGCCCCGCCTCTGGGGTCTCACCCAGCCACCAGGCCCAGGGTCCTGGCTGCTGGCCCCAGCTCTATGTGGCAGTGAGAGGCACAGACAGAAGGAAGGGCCAGTGCAGTTCATCACCCCCACTCCAAAAATGGTTCCAGCGTTACTGGCCGCAAGCAGAGACCAGCCCGCACTGAGGTGCAGCAATGCGTGGGGGCACAGGGAAACGATGCACTGAGATGTACCCACATGATCTGAGCAAGTCGAGGCAGAGAGGAACTTGTTTCAGAGGGAAGAACGGGCGGGGATGGGAGGAGGATAAACCAGACATGGTCCTTAGAGAGCTCTCTCTTCTTGCAGAGCTGTTTGCCTTTTTTTTTCTGTAGTCACACAAAAATTACACAAAATTGCCTCTGCTGTTGTAAATTAGCTTTTTTCAAGTGATTGCTTGACTGGAGAGACCACTAACTCAATGCCAGGGGTAAGGTAGAGCTCCTTTAATGTAATTAGCACTTGTGCCTCTAGAAAACATAATAACGGGCCTTAATAAGCTGTGTCTACAACTGGAGGCACCCCTGCCTATTTTGGTAAACATCTACTGTACACCAGATCTCAGCGAGAGCCTGCATGAAATTGGCTGTTTATCTCAGCAGCCTAGAGAGTTCCCCGGCGTTTGTGTCCCTTTATGGCTTCCAGCACATTTGACAAGGGTTTATCATTCCGGAGCTACGAGAACAAGGCCTGAGATACTGAACTATTTGTATGGGTGAGGAGATACCCTCCGTTGCATGAGCATTTGTCTGCCTTAAATTGGCAACCACAGGAAACGGAGCGCTTGGGGCGCAAATTAATAGTCACTAATTACTCCAAGTAAAAAATATTTGGCAACACTTTAAACGAGGCGCCTTAAATGCACTTAACTCTGCATTTCATTTAGCCTTAATTGGCAAATTTTTTTTATATTATTTTGAACGTTAAATAACTTACAAATTACCATCTAAGAACGTGTGGCGCTTGAACAGCTGCATTAGAGATATGTGCACAGGCTCTGAGTCTACGCTTGCTTGAGCCCCAGAGTGAATCAGGTGAAACAGATACAGCTGTCAGTCAGTGCAGACATCCACTTAGAGATCCACCCGTGGATAGCCAGTGTATCTGAGTTCATCGTTACGCTAACGAAGTCTGAGCCTCCGCTGGAGTAAATCTGTGCATCTCGGTGTACCTCAAAGATAATAAGATGTTAGGGTGAATAAAAAACCCAGGCGGCGAATAATAGGGAAAATGTTATCATGAGTGGCTTGCACACCTCTGGAATGCCGCATGCATTGCTGGACGCTTAAAAAGATATTGCAGAATTGGAAGAGGTGCAGGCAAGGGTGATATGACTAAGTAGAGGTTTGGAAAATGTTAATATGAAGAGAAACAGAAAAGACTGGGATTTTTTAGCATAGCAAGGAGACAAATAGGAGAAGGCACAACAAACAGACGTTATCATCAACTCAGTTAAAGAAAATGAATTAAACAGCAAATGATCATCCATTGACTGAATAGCTATCAGAGGGTACGTCTATACTACAGAGAAGTTAAAAGCTGCCGCTGTCGCTCTTCCAGGGGTCGAATGAGAGGGTCTAGGGAAGACTCGCTAATTTGCAATGAGAGTCCTGCTTCCACAACGAGCAAGGGAAGTCGAAGGGAGAGTGTTTCCTTCGACTTCCTGCAACGTGGACAGTGACAAAAGTTGAGTTAAGGTTCTTGGACTCGAGCTATGCAATTAACATAGCTGAAGTCTTACCCAATCCTTAGAAAAGTCACGTAGGGGATCCTCAAGGAATCCATTTTGAAGCACTTGGAAGAGGGGAAGGTGATCGAGAATAGTCAGCATGGATTCATGAAGGGCAAGTCATGCCCGACCAATCTGATTAGCTTCTTTGATGAGGTAACTGGCTCTATGGATATGGGGAAGTCAGTGGATGCAATATACCTTGACTTTAGCAAGGCTTTTGATGCCGTCTCCCACAATATTCTTGCAGGCAAGTTAAAGGGATGTGGATTGGATAAATGGACAGTAATATGGATAGAAAGCTGGCTGGAAGGTTGGGCCCAGCGGGTAGTGATCAATGGCTCGATGTCAGGATGATGGTCGGTTTCTAGCGGAGTGCCCAAGGTTCGGTTCTAGGACCGGTTTTGTTCAACGTCTTTATTAATGACCTGGATGAGGGGATGTATTGCACCTTCAGTAAGTTTGTGGATGACACTAAGCTAGGGGAGAGGTAGATACGCTGGAGGGCAGGGATAGAGTCCAGAGTAACTTAGACAAATTGGAGGATTAGGCCACAAGAAATCTGATGAGGTTCAACAAGGACAAGTGTAGAGTCCTGCACTTGGGAAAAAAGAATCCCAAGCATTGTTACAGGCTAGGGACCAACTGGCTAAGTAGCAGTTCTGTAGCAAAGGACCTGGGGATTACAGTGGATGAGAAGCTGGATATGAGTCAACAGTGAGCCCTTGTAGCCAAGAAGGCTAATGGCATATTAGGTTACATTAAGAGGAGCATTGCCAGTTGATCCAGAGATGTGATTATTCCTCTTTACTCGGCTCTGGTGAGGCCACATCTGGAGTATTGTGTCCATTTCTGGGTCCCCAATTACAGGAAGGATGTGGATGCATTGGAGAGGGTCCAGCAGAGGGTAACCAAAATGATTAGGGGGCTGGAGCATATGACCTACAAGGAGAGGCTGAGGGAGTTGGGTCTGTTTAGTCTGCAGAAG